CTTGCTAGCATTGTGATAGGTTTGAGAAAAATCGTATAATTACAGGATCTGAGGTATCAAAATATAATGATTAATGGTATTGGTCAGTTAATTGCTTCCAATATTGTTAATTGTATTTAAAGACTTTTTGAGTTTTATTTAAAAACTGCAGTCATTTCATCACTTTTAAGGCGATCAGCGATATTTTGTTAATGGCTTTGTTTGGCCTTTATTTTGTATTTATTTCATCAACTGTATTGTAGGTTTACAACCTACCAGGACGCGCGCTGAGTTGGACTCGTCGACGGTCCTGTCCAATATATGGAACAGATATTTAACGAGTATCACCCGTTAACAACTGTGGGGCATATGCAATCAAAAATATCTTTACATTTTGTTAATTTTATTTATAAAACAGCTCATTGTCATAAAATTGTGTTTTAATTTTTCAAACATGCTGGTATGGTACTTGTAGCGCGATGCACTACTGGGTCGCGCGCTCATCCAATAATGCTTCTCGCAACCACAGATCTTAAGCAGATCGCGTCGATCGGCGAGATGCGAAGGATTGACATCGCGTCAATCAAGTATGCATGGTACAAGAACCGGACCAGATAACATTTTTGTGACATAATTAATATAATTAATTGACATAAAATATGTGACACTCGAGTAGTCGAGTATATATGATATAACTATAAATAATATGCAACCTGGTATGGTGTGCCGGAAATTCAATTAGCTAATTAACATGCACGTTGCATGAAACATATTATTGCCCATTTCGGTCACAAATCAGAGCTTAAATTGAGTTTATTGCACGCGCGCGGTAGACAAATTGTGTTTAAACACCTGTGTTGTGACAATTAAACATGCGCGTTATGAAGGTGACCAATGAAATTTCACATAGCCATGTGCCTACGCGTACTGCGTGACGCGCTTGTTTCACAAGTAGGATACTTTGCCGCGCTTGTTTCACAAGTAGGATATTTTGCCGCCTCCGGCGGTCGCGCGCTACTGCAAGCGAGAGGGCTCTGGTTAGAGCAACAATGAAATTATGAACGGGTGATACTCGTTAAATATCTGTTCCATACTCGGCGCGCGTCCTGGTAGATTGTAAACCTACAAAGCATTATTTGTTATTGGATGCGCGGCGCGGTCCAGTAACACATCGCGCTACAATTGTCCAAGCTGCATGTGACACAATTCAGCCGATCAAAGGACAGGAATTCGCTTGAAACAGTTGGTATCAGTAATGCATCTCAACATCAGCAGAAGATCAAGAGTTCATTACAACCGGTGCATGGCTTGAGAAAAGTCTATCATCAACTTTCGACTTTTTATACAATATTGAATATGCAATAATTATTTTGCTTCGAAAATTCTCTGATAATTAATAATATATCTTACCTGAGGACCCCAGGCTATTATGTTCATTAACGAATAAAGATTTGGCGGAATGACAGGCTGAGCGCGGCCCAGTAATAATATATCGTGACATGTAGGGTGATTGTTTTCAGGGTGATTGCTCAAAAAATGTAGGAGAAGATAGATTTAGACGGAGCAGAGAGTGATGAAGCCCAGCTCAAGATTTATGCGAGATTGCGAGCCGGACTCATCGCACAAAATTTGTAAATAAATGAGGAAACAGAAAAAGTTTAACTTAAAAGTTGAGGGAATTAGGAACTTAACATGTATTTTATACTCTTAACGTGTATTTTATCACTTGTTTATAGCGTGAAAACTTCGACGTAACGCGCGCGAGATTTTTGCCAGATTTTTGCGAGTTTCGTTTAAATCTCATAGCTAGGCTCACAATATCGTGAGATTCTCCGCGAGATTTCGGCACCCTCTTTCAGCACTACATATTCGGTCGCGCGCTTGCATTTTCATCGCTTTTCAGCGTGTTTATTCACTGTACTGTCTAAGTCTTAAAGGATACTAGTTGTTATAAGATCAAGATTCACAGTGGTTACTATAGTTACCATGGTTACCATTAAAGGAGGTACTATTCCTGGCTATATTCTTTCTCAGAATATACTTGATACTGCCATAGGCATAGTGAATATTTCTTCATTAAAAGTTTGAGAAAGGGTCTCTTCAACTGGAGAACTGACTTATTAATCCTAGCAGGTAATTAACTCTGGATCCTCATCACATTGATTCCATTCTAAATTCTAGCCATAAACAAAACAAACATTACCAGATAACTCCGTTTACAATAATTTGACATGTTCCAGTGTGAACGAGGCCTTCCCCGGACAAATCCTTAAATGCCGGTCTTCTCAGTCTCTTAGTTCTCTAGATGAAGTACGAACAGTATAATCTATCGGATAACGTATATTACAAGGTGCTCTGATGATAATTTTAGTAAAATAATTAATAATTGCCAAAAGAATGACCGCTGACGAGACTCGAACCCGAGTCAACTGCTTGACGAGCGCGCCCTCAACCATCGTGCTACGTGAGGCTTACCAAAATTACAATATGTAACATTATATAATTCATGAAAATACGCACGTAAATTTTTCGTTATTTATGGATCCAATAACAGTGACATACTTTTCGCTTACAAAGGGACTCGCGAAATCTTTTTAAATAGAAAATAATTTGTGGGGCAAGAAATCTTGCAGGCTGGAGGGGGGGGGGGGGGGGGGGGGGTTGGGAGTACATTTCGTGAAAATCGCACTTCTAGTGTCAAAATCCAATCTCATCGCACTTTTTTTAGAATCTTGATAGGGGTGATGAAGCGGAAACAGATGATGAAGAAGAGGAAGTGGAGGATACTGACTCATCAGAGGAATGGGCGAAAATAGTAACTGTGTACATGGTGATGCTCTGCATCATGATACGGCTGTTGAGGTTTGCCTCAATGGAGGGCGAGGTCGAATGCCATCCCAGTCAAGATTTGAGCAACTCCAGGGCCATAAACAATCGAAGATATCACTTAATATCACATGTGATCATGCAGCTGATGGTAACTGCAAGATTCTTTCAGTTGGAAATAGAGCATGGTTTCTCGTTAAGCGGATGATCATGAAAACGGAAACAGAGATCGTGAAGGTGAGAAGAAAGGCTTTATTCCTCTCGTACCGGTTGCGGTCAGGGTTGGGGTCATCAGTGAGTTGCGTCCCTACTAACTCAATTTGCCATGGCCATCGAAGTGAGCATTACATATGGCTGATATCATATCTGGATGGCCAACTTCTTCTGAGCACATCAGTGAATAAAATACTGCTTTTGGGTGATATTTAAGCGATTATATCTATTGTGATGTTGTAGTGATGAACCAAAACAGTGATGTTGTACTGATAATTGTTTTACTAGGTGCTTACATGATTTTATTTCCTTCAAATGAAAAATTTGTAAAAAAACCAAAAAAACCCAACTCCTACCCTGAAAAAGGTAATACTGGGATTGGGTTTTTTTTGGTTTTTTTGGGTTACACCCCCCCCCCCCCCAACTTTCAGAGTTCATGATGTAATTCATGATGTAAATTGTGTATTAAATGTGTGGTGGCTCCCTGGGACAAGAAAATATTTGATTAAATACCTTTATCTTTGGTTTCGAATAATTCGAGCTCTAGCCGTTGATTAATTAATCATTGTTTTTTAGGGATGTTAAAGAACAAGCCTGCAGCGACATTAAAAGGCCACCAAGGTCCAGTAAATCAGGTTAACTACAATTCAAATGGTGAATATTGCTCGTCTGCTGGAGATGACAAGACTATCATTTTATGGAATCCCCTAGATGGGGTCAAGTTGAAGGTGTACAATGGCCATGGACAAAGTGTTCGTGATGTCGTTTCTTCCCATGATAACTGTAATCTTGGTTCAGCCAGCGCAGATAGGTGCGCTTTCTATTGGGATGTGGCCAGTGGTACTATACTAAGAAGGTTCCGAGGGCATGACTCAGTTGTGAATTGTGTCAAGTTTAACAAATCATCAAACATGCTGTTATCTGGTGGAAATGATTCCACAGTTAGGATCATGGACCTTAAATCAAGATCTTATGAAGCTGTTCAAATATTAGATGATGCAAAAGATTCTATCACAAGTATTGATATCACAGATGACGAAATAACAGTTGGCTCAGTTGATGGCCGTATAAGAATATATGATATTCGAATGGGAAAACTTCATGAGGATTTTGTAGGTGAATCAATAACAAATGTTTGTTTTTCCAATGATAACCAATCAGTCATAGTAAATTCAACTGACAATACTGTCAGATTAATTGATAAAACAAGTGGTCAACTGTTGAATGATTACACTGGACATGTTCACACCAAACTGCAACTCCAAGCTGTTTCATGGTATGATGACAGTGCTATACTCAGTGTCTGTGAAAAATCTAAAGTTTTTATCTGGGACTTAATCGGAGGAGAAGTGAAGCAGACATTAGAGCTTCCTGCACTATCTCAAACTCTGTCAGTGCATCCTTCTAGGTACCAACTTCTTACTGGTGATATATCTGGACAAATTAATTTGTGGATAACTAAGGGGGAGAAAAACCCAGAGAAACATGAGGGAGAAAAAAGTATGTCAATGTGGGCATTGCCTCCTCGGTGAATATTATTTTGATCTGCTGTCAGGCTGAATGACAGTGCAGTGTTCTTTAAAATGAATACTACTATACTTGAATTTTTAATTTTTGGTTGAACAATCCAATTTATGATATTTGGTTTGAAGTTATCATTGATATAACTATTAAAATATTTAATATTCTATTTTCACATTTGGATTTCAAATGCACATGGTCAATCGTTTTTTGAGCAAATTAGCACTTTAAAAAATGATTTTATTATAAGCCTTGAAAAATAGGCATAACTTGAAATTTATGATTTTTATACTTTCATAGGTTTTCCATAACATGAATCTTGTACAATTCACATGTCAGGAAGGTTACCATTGATAATAGGTTTATTTGATGTTGGTTTTAGGAAGGCAACGACCCAGATATTTATGATACAAGCTTTCCTATTTTTAGAGTATTGAATTGTTACTAATCTATTGCAATGCAGGAGAGTAGTGTCAATGTCAGGAAGTGGTAGAGTTTCTGTTTCTGTCCCTGAGGTAATTTCTAATTATTAATAATCTGCAATTGGTCGTGCCTTGTGGGACTGTGGCAGGTTTCTTGGATATGAGTTATGACCTTATTTAAATGCTGTTCTATTATTTCGTCTATTTCAGGGTTATGTTCTCACTAAAAAGACTGATTTACAAAGCCTTCAAAATTTAGTGAAAACTATATCAAGTTTCAACAATAACCGAGATCGGGAGAATGCAATCAATGATATCATCAGCAGCAGTTCACGGGGTTACGCTATAAGAGAAAAAGAAGATCTGATTGCTAAATTTGACAGTGCTTGTAAAAATTCCCGTTTAAAATCGAAAATAGAGGATGTCAAGAGCGACTGTACTAAGACGTTAAAGAAAAATATGAAAGGTAACGGTTGATGAAAGTTTTTTTAACAAATTGTTACAATGTATTATATTACGTAACATAATTTAGATATTTAATCTAACATTATCAAATTGGAGTACTTCTAGTACTATTGTTTTAAATATTTTGTAGTGTAATTGTTGGAATCGAATAATGAAGAAGTTACTTGCTGGAAGAAGATAAAATTTGATCCCCCCTTATTTAAGCGATTGAAAGCTTTTCCAAACCCTTTCCCCTGAGGCACTTAAGTAATATGTGGACGATCCGGAATCCTTAATAATATAATTTTTTATTATCAGATATACAGAAGAGACAGAATGATTCAAAGAAAGCTCTAAAGAAGAATTTTGAGGCGGGTGCGTCTGTGTTGAAAGAGTGTTACGAGAGTGAACTTCTGAAAAGTTTCCAGAACAAGGTTGGATTCCTTACTCTACCCATTATATTCTACTTTCCATTATAACAACATTACCTCTTATCACTATTCATAATTCTGACTATGATGAATATTATCCGCTTTAAAAGTTACTATTCAGACATCTCTGAACAATTCCCTGCCGGTGGAGCAGTACGCGTGTGAAGAGCTAGTAAAGACTTACAGAGAGTGTCTCAAGAGACAGCTCCTCCCGGAAATGGAGAAGATGTACAAAACACACTGTCACAAAATGGAGGGTGCTATGAAAGAGTGGGTCAGTCAGTACAACACAGGTAAATACTGGGTCAGTCAGTACAACACAGGTAAATACTGGGTCAGTCAGTACAACACAGGTAAATACTGGGTCAGTCAGTACAACACAGGTAAATACTGGGTCAGTCAGTACAACACAGGTAAATACTGGGTCAGTCAGTACAACACAGGTAAATACTGGGTCAGTCAGTACAACACAGGTAAATACTGGGTCAGTCAGTACAACACAGGTAAATACTGGGTCAGTCAGTACAACACAGGTAAATACACCAGATTAGTTGGACAATGTATAACACGTGGCTGGTATTGAAATTGGAATTATAGAGATCATATTTGTGAATGCAATAAGTTTAACATGACTGCAAGGGACCTCTGAGATAAGGAATCTTGAATGTTAATTATGATCTCCATGACGGGGAAGTAACTCCAACTTTGATAACTTGATTGTGTGCAATATCCTCAAAATCAAAATTAAATTTAAGAACTAATTCGGAACCGTAAAATGATTAACAATTATTTCCGTAGGGGCGCTAAAAGACACACACAAGGTGTCCCCCGCAATAAGTGAGAGAATGAACAATATTCAGCGAAGATTGGATCAGCTGACACAGAACGCTCAGAACGGTTCTACAGTGGAAAGAAAGATTGATCAAACTCTCCAGAGGTCTGTCTGCTTGTATTGTTCACAACTTTTTACCTTATTTTACCACCTAATTTTACCACCTTATTCGAAACTAAGTAGATATCTGATCAAGTAGGATTTAATTTGAAACTTTTTGTCAGAAGTTGATACAGTACAATTTTAATAACAATTGAAACTCAAGTTTTTGGTAAACTGATTAATTTCGAATTAGTCGGCTGAGAGCTTATATTCCCAGGTCAGGGTATCTCAGTAACTGTGAGGTACAATTGATATTTCACACTCCTATTTTAGTTGTAGCTACACTTGTACAGTAGACATGTAAAAGTTATGTGTATTGGTCAGGATAACGCAGGATATAGGACAACTGACAGTGGAAGTTAGAGAAGTGGCTCCTTCACACGAACAGATAGTCGCGGAATGTCTGGGCAGACAAGACTTTCAACAAGCCCTCAACAATGTGAGTACAGCTAGTGTCCCTAGTGTTAAGTAGTCTGCTTGTACAGTTCTATACATAGAACAATATCATGTCTATAAATAGAACAATATCATATAAAGAACAATCTCATATTCATCAAAGGCAGATTTTACATGATCAGTAATGGTCAGTAATGAGTACAGAGTATTGATGTAGCCTGACATAATTTACGTCTCCATTTCAGGCGCTAGTAGCTATGGATCTGGAGTTGTTAATGTCTACCATTTCAGGCGTTAGTAGCGATGGATCTGGAGTTGTTAATGTCTACCATTTCAGGCGTTAGTAGCGATGGATCTGGAGTTGTTAATGTCTACCTGTAATAAGATGTCTGTAGACGATGTGTTCGGTGATGTACTCCCAGAACAACCCATCTTACTAGCATTACTTAACCAGCTCCCCTACAACTTACAACAAGACCTGGAGATTAAGAGTAGTTATCTGGTGGAGACTGTCCTGGCGCTGGACCTGGCTGACCAAGTTGTGAGTAGTATAGGGGAGGGCCGCTCACACTACCGCTTATCTCAATTAGTATTAATTAGACATTAATATGACTCACAATTACTGGAGTATTCTAACAAACCTTTAACTCTCCAGATTGCGAGTAACAGTGAGACAGTGTTCAGAGAACTTACCAAACTTATAGAACACATAGATTCAACTAGAAGTCAGATTACACCGCGTCAGTACAACCAGCACCTCAAACAACTCCGCTGGTCCACAGAGCAAATCATCAGACAACTAGACCAGTACTGAGAACTGGACCAATACTGAGAACTGGACCAATACTGGACCAGTACTGAGAACTGGACCAATACTGGACCAACACTGGACTAATACTGAGAACTGGAACAAGCAATTTGTAATACTCACTCATTTTGTGGACATTGCCGTATATTAATCGGTTGAAAATATGTTTAATTTGATAAGCAAGAAGAGAATGCTGAGTTTTATACATTATTAATCAAGTTATTTGTTAAAATAAATGTATAATTCTTATCATAATTTTTATTATTTTTACCCTATCAATTGATAGTGTATTTTAAAATGAAATCATTAAAATATGTTTTCTATGTAATAACATATATAATTAACCTTCTTATTTGTTTCATTCAATATCAGCTGAAATCATTGATCCCTGCAATGTAGCACTGTCATGAATACCGTACCTCCGTCGGACTGCAAAATGAACGGAACATTGAATTGTTCTAATAGTTATGAGAAGGGTGAGTGTTGTTGCTCTTTTGCCTTCAGTTTGACAACTACTGTGTTAATGGCACGCGGTATGGTGATGAGTTAGTGTGTTATCACGTGTTGTGCACGTGTTACCACGTGTTACCACGTGTTGTGCACGTGCAACTTTGGTGTGATCTTGTGTTTCTTATCTCTTCTTGATACACATCATTGCGCATTTTAGATTTTCTGGAGTGAAGCCTTTGTCACAATACCTAGGATTGACATAACTTGCAACCTAAACAGTGAATTTAGTGATTGATATAGCCTTAAGGTGGTGGACCGTGGATGGCTACAACGACGAATAGTGTAAAATGCTATTAGGAGGGATTGGTTATGAAATGTAAGAGGTCTGCAGCTGGATTACAGTGTTAACCTAGCAATTATTAAGTAGTGTAATAAGATATTATCACAACAATGAAAATAACCCCATCATTATTTCTGATTACTTTTAATTCTAGTAGGCACAGTGATGTAATACAACCTTATCTCTTTCTTCATTTACAACACTGATAAAGTTCGATCGAAATCTTATAAAGTTTAAGAAACTGTGAGAATGGGTTGGACAGACATCAACATTCGGTTAACTGGCGGCGGGGAAACATTCGACACTACTTACGGTTTACAATCAATTACTGTAATTAGTCTTACGGTTTACAATCAATTACTGTAATTAATCTTACGGTTTACAATCAATTACTGTCAACTTTTAGTCTGCATTGCCTCATGATATTGCTGAACTTTCTTTGCGTTTGATACAATTTATTTATCAATTTCTATATTGTGTTAAAGTGAAGCAGCGTTATTCTTATCATTATCAAGCAGTAAATAATCAGCCTGAGGCATTTATATTCAGATGACTTCAAATGAAAATACTTTTTGAATATGAAAATGAAAGTGAAACTATATCCCGCAGATATGTGGAGAGAGATATTTGTGTGGTGTTTGGTGTCGAGTCTAGTTATTCACTTCGTGTCGGGACTACTTGCTTGGTACAGTTTGGGAGGTCATCCCATCGCTGTCTACGCTCTTCCTTCCTTCATCATAGCTGGATTCTTTACCCCTCTCTTTGCGGGAACTATTACAAGTAAGGCTTACTTTGTTTTATAATCCTGTTTTTTAATCCTGTTTTTTAATGTTTTTACGCCCTTCTATCTTTAGCCAATGAGTAATTTGCTTTACAATTTAAAGATTTCCTGCTACCACCGATTATAACCCCACTTCGTTTCAGGTGCAGTTATAGTATTTGTTTATAAATCAGCGCAATTTACAATGTCATCTTTAGACGCTTTTCTGTGGGGTGTGGGACAGACAATCGTGTATACACTAGTAGCTGTTTCTAGAATTTATGTTACTCTTTGAAGTTCAGTTTTTTTTCATATCATGACGAAGTTTGTTAATCGGCTTGCATGGTTCTGATGTATTCAATTTTGAATCTTGAGAAGTATTAGATCTTTTCTTAATTAATTGATATATTTCGTTAAATATTTTTGTCGAGAAAGTTGTTAATAGTCCGTCTTGCCTGACAGTATGTTGAAATTGGGAACCAAAATTTGCCTTAGTTAGTCAATGACAGATAATTTGTTTGATTTTTTATTTGTGTAAATGATTTTCTTTATATTATCTTATTGTATGTTACTGCTATCAGCTATAATTTGACTCCTTTTGGCGTTGTGGACCTGCCATCGTTACTTGCAGGGTTCAGGGATAGTAGCAAATTCCCGGCAACTTAATAAAAGGGGCGTGTTTTAAATAGAGCTGCACTAAGTCCGTGTGTCCTGGACTTGCCAGTCAAGCCTCAATACACGACTTGAAAGACGCTACATTCGATTATCGGTTACGGCGGGCGCTGTTGCCGAACACCAATATGCTTAGTAGTATGTAGTAACTCACACTTCTAATGCGCGTCTTAACCGCGCGCACACCGCGCTATCATCTGACTCGTGTCTGCAGTTGATCTACTATACTCATTTGATTTTACATTTATTATATAACTTGTTTGAATGAAACAAAATAAATCTTAAAAGTTATTATAATAATACCTCAGCAGGATGCAACCAAAGAAGAAAAAACAGAAGGTTGACGAGAATGTTCTTCTCGGCTACACCACTGACAATTTCATCAGGAGTCAACTTGAAGAACTGTATTCTGGATTGAAGCAGTCCACAAACCCAGTCTCTAACCAGATCAAAGACTTGTTGTTGAACTTAAAACCAACCAAGAAGAAGACAATCGAAGAAGCCGTCATCGCCTTGAAAAATAAGAAATCTGTCTGGCCCCTACCATCAGATCTCACTATTCCAAATGGTACATTTAAATTCTTCCCAGCAAAAGAAGTAGTTGATGTTGGTGGAGTTAGGACATCGACTCATTTGAAAGCATCAAAATCATCCGACTTACTGCTTCTGCTCTCAGAAAAATTTTGCGAACCAAAAGATTATTTGAACGGAAGATATATCGTCAAAAGAACTTTGTTCCTGATGCACTTGATCCCAAAACTCCGGAGTTGCGATTTTGTGTCAAATATAAGGTTCAAATATTTTGAAAGGGACGTGCTCAAACCAGTCCTTCACGTTCAATGTAAAACAGGTGATTCGTTCAATCTCATACCTTCTGGCTGCACCTTCAAGTTATCTTTACTTAATTTTGACAGAAATGCCGTCAGACCTGATAAAGTGTACGATGGTGAAGAGGAATGTTCAGAGATCAGCACTCCGTATTACAACAACTCCATTCTCACTGACATTCATTCCCCTCAATACGTAAGTTTTATGTCAGTCATTGAAGATTCAGAAAACTTCAAACAGGCATTGACCATTCTCAAGTTCTGGCGTGCAAGAAAAGGTGTCAAAATGTCCGGACATATATTAACAACATTGTTCCTACATCTATACGAGTCAGGATCTATTGCTACAGAAATGGACGTCCTAACAATCTGCAGACAAGTTTGGTCCTTTTTATCAACCATCCTCGTTCCCGCATTCTCTACAGGGATCATTGTTGGAGACAGCACAAAGACCATGGGTTACCCAGGCTTATATATAGATACTCTTGCTAACGTGTGCTACAACACAGACCTGGTAGCCTTGAAGGAGTTATCTCGACACAGCGGGGTGATGTTGGAAATGTTGGAGTCGAGGGAGTACAATACTCTCGTATCTGTCATGACTGAGAGAGTTTCCTCTCTTTATGATATCTACGATGTTGTTTACAAAGTCGAGATCCCAGAAGCACCTCTACCAGAAAGTTCTTTACAATATTGTGGGGTGCAATTCCGAGGTTTTATAGACCATGTCAGGTTCATCCTCCTGAAATCTTATGGAGACAGAGTGAAGGAAATCAAGATAGAGTACATTTTAAGTGAACCCTGGTCAAGGAAATCTCCTCCAGGTCTCCCTAGCTCCGTAATGATTGCTCTCACCATCGACAAAGATAACTGGACAAGACTCGTCGACAGAGGCCCCTCAGCAGATACCGTCCAATCTAAAACGTTCAAAGAGTTTTGGGGGGAAAAGAGTGCTATAAGGAGGTTCCAGGATGGTTCCATTGTTCAAGCAGTAGTGTGGGACGGTAAAACTGCGCAGGCACGTCGCAGTATTCTCACCCAAATCACAGAGCATGTGTTGGGACGTCACGCCGGGATCGCACCGGACAAGGTACAAGAGCTCAAGTTGGAGAGCCAGGAAATAGTGGGCAGAACCTACTACGAGGGAGATGGTGAGGAGCAGGCACAGAAAATCATCAAAACTTTCTCCGAGCTGAGTAAGATCTTGAGAAAGTGCTCCAAGATACCACTTACTATAAACTCAGTGTTAGCCGTATCTCCAGTGCTCAGAAACACTGATCTGTTCCCTCAAGCCGAGTATCAAGTAAGCCGCTCAAAGAAGCAAGCTGCTCTCAATACAAGTGAAGCAGTTCCCCCTTTCGTACAAGCTCACGAGATGGTGTGCCACTTTGAGTTGAGTGGCAAGTGGCCAGAGGATGTCCAGGGAATCCTCCGATTGAAGGCTGCCTTTTACCTGGCCCTCAAAGAGGAGCTAGAAAGCATGCATATAACTGCTAAAGTAAACATTAACTTCCTCGACATTGCCCGGAACGGGTTTGTGTTCAGGTTGAGATTTCATGTCCCGAAAGAAGAGAAACTAAGAGCGGGCAACATTTCCTTCTGGGTGCCTTGTTCTGGTGCAGAGCTGAAAGTGCAAACAGTCATCCTACCTTATGTGTCATCTCACCTCAGTAGTTTGAGTCTCCAGCACTCTGCCTACCCTCTAACAGTTAGATTCCTAAAACACTGGGTCTCAATTCACTGCCTCTCAAACTACATTCCTGACATATTCTGTGAACTAATAGTGGCCCACATATTCCTCAGTGCTACAGCTCACTCCACCCCCCAAACCGCTACAGCTGGGTTCCTTAGAGTTCTCTCCTTCCTCTCTTCATTCGACTGGAACCTGTACCCGCTTCTCATCAACTTCAACCATGAGCTCATATCTGAAACTTTAGAGTTGTACACGAACTTCATGAACACACGAAGTTCTTACCCTGACGCCTGTATAGCGTGCCCTCAAAACGAACTGTCTGATCTGACCCGAGATTCTCCAACAAAATCCTCTCTCAACATCCTTAAACGGCTGGCAGAGAAATCCCTCTCCAATACCAACTCCCTAGATTCTGTTTTCAAACCGAACACCACATCCTACAACGTCATCATCCACTTGAAACGCAGCCAAACAGGGAGGTTCCCAACAGACAACCCTTCACAACACCACGCGAAGAGCTCTCACTTCCCAGTGGTGGAGTACGAACCAGCGCGGCTGTACGTGGAGGAGCTGAGCCGCGCATACGGCCAGCTGTGTCTCTTCCTGTACAACAGATACGCCCCCAGTGTGGTGGGTGTTGTGATGAAGCGAGCTGGGAACGGTGAGGTGAAGTTCACTGTTAATGGCTCTATGGCAAAAGTAAGAACTGAGGGAGGTATGGTGAAGAATAATCTGGATGCTATGTTGTCAGACTTTGATCTGATGGGGAAGGGTTTGGTTCAGAACATTGAAGTACTTGATCTTGAAATTTGAGAATGAGTAGATATGTTTTGCGGGATATTTAATTACACCCTAAAAGAGCAGAGTGTTTGTTATCGTGACAGTGCTGTAATTTCTTTTAACTTCTAACTTATTATTTTATCAGTTTTATATACGTCGTCTAACTCGCTTCTATTTACAAATTAGTAGTACATGTGAAATGACAAACTCTACTTACAAGAGAGTTACAAGAGTTACTTGATCACGTGACACATTGCCTGATCACGTGACTCCCCTAAACACTGCTTGTAACACCTAACACTACCTGTAACACCTTCTACCATATAACAGGTGCAATGAAAAGGAAGCAACTAGAGAGTTACCTGCAGGATGTTGCCCAGTTCTCCCACCCCAAGTTGGAGTTGGAACAGTACCCCACAGACCCACATCTAGCTGCAAGTGTCCTGTACACTGCTCAGACCAGCTTCGGGGATATCGAGGACAAGGCTGTGTTAGATATGGGGGCTGGGTGCGGTATTCTCAGTATTGGTGGGTGAGTTATTTAGTGTTCCTGAATTCCTTGCCTGAAAACAGCTTGTTTTCATCTTCACGTTATCATTATAAATCTGTGATGATCATCAGTAATATGACTGATCAGTATAAATGTGGCTGATTAGTAGTTTTCCGACCCGGGAACTACACGGAATATGATACCCTCTCTTTCCAGGAAGTGTAATGTTGGGAGCAGGAAGTGTGACGTCATTAGAGCTGGACTCCGATGCTATCCAGGATTTACAGGATAATATCACTGAGTTTGAGATAGATAACATTGATATTATCCAGTGTGATGTTACCACCGACCTTGTCAGGTTTGTCTTTTTTGTTGGTAATCATTTGACTCGGACAAACGCAGTCTCTTTTTAAAAAGTTGGAGAGTTGTTATTGTAATAGGACACAACCCCATTAAAAGATAAAAGACGAAAAAGCAGAGATAATGACAAAAAATCAACCAAGAAACTAATTAAAGTAAAGAAACAAAAAAAACCAATACCCCTAAAAATAGTCCTCGGTAAAAACAAGGTTATAATAAGTGCAAAGAAGCGACAATAGAGTACATCGTTGAACTGACGAAATTAGATACTATCTAGAATATATTGGAATTATCGAGTTTATGACACGGTTTGTTCCCTGATCAAACATTTTTTTTGAACATTTATGTTCCGGTTAAAGTCCACTCAATTTTTCGGAGATAATAGAATTTATTGACCTAACAAACCTAAACCTGAATCCATGCAGGAAACATTCAACAGAAATTTAAGTCGAGGAATTAATTCATCAACCTTATTATTCTATCTTAATTGGTATTTAGTATTCTTAAAATTCCCATTGCGTTAGCTACTGTAACTGCTATATTGATTCAAGTGAAATTGGATTTTACTACACTTGTAATTGTTAAAAATTGGTGACGATAATCCATCTGCTTGTGTGACATAAAAACACTGTCATGATATTTTTGTCATGCAGTTTAAAACGGGTAAAACTGCAGCAGTTTAACGGTTTTAAATGAAAATGGCTTTGAGTGGTGTCTCAATTTATTTTTGTTCCGAGAGTGATAGTTTCCCATATATTACTCTCTGGAGAAAATGAAGTGCATTCAGATAGTCTCGTGAAGTTCCGAAAGAATAGGAAGTTAGACTATCATACTTCAATCATCTGCTTTTTTAAAAATGAGCGAGATATTAAAATACCATCTGCATTACAACATCAAGACATTAGGCTTTAAAAATTAGCTCCAAAACAAGTGGCTTTTCATGGCGCACAGTGCACATTAAGCTTACAGGTAGCACTAGCATAATCAAGATGCTAAATTCAGTTCCGACCATTGTCCATCGGTTTGAGTACGCGAACAGTCCGGCTGCTTCTCTTCATCGGATTCTGCTAAAATCAAGCAAAACGCCTGAACATTCATATGAAAAGGTCCTGAAATCAATGATATTGTTCCTTATGAGGGAGCTGAGGAAAAACACAAAACAAGCCTTACAAACCTATGTTGATGACCTGTCCTTGCAGTTTTTGCACAATGTGTAATACACTTGGTGATGTAAATGGTGGATGTCTTCTTCCTGGGGGTAGGAACCACTCTTCCAAGAAGTTCGTTCATCACCTCCATTGAGTGTACCGATAGCTCCATATTAACTAAACAACTGTAAATATTCCGTCAGTTGAAATGCTCTGGGACAGGTGAAGGAGAACCTCCACGCAATATTACAGTTATTCTCAACTACAAGGGCAGTTTAGAGGGAGATAGACCTATGTGGGATCATTTCATCTTAGGATTCTTGTTAATCTCTTCTCTGATGAAATTCTGTTGCAGCTGTGGAATGTGAACTTTTAGAGCTTTCCCGATCAACTTTTCTATCTCCAACTCAGTAGTGTTGTTGCTGGGACAAAAGAGGTTTCCCATTCCGCATGTATACTCACAGCCGTTAGTGATTCAACCACAGCATGTTTCATTAGAGTCCTCATGTAATGAGGTGGTGGGCGAACAAATGCAGGTTCAAAGGTGGGACAAGGATGGTGCATGCGAACCTGATACTAAACTTGAAACAACATCTTTTAGGCTCAGTGGCACGCTTATCTCACTCTCACTATCCCATAATAAATGGCTGATTTTCCTGAATGTTAATCTAGCGTTACATTTTCCTGTTCAGTGAGAGTGAATCGGAAGTGCCTAAAATCTGGTTTGGGTTTTGTACATCTTGGAGCAGCTAAGATAATCGATTTGGATTCCTTATAAAAATACCCTGGCAGAGGGCGAAGTAATAAGACTGATGAAAAATATACTTCAGTAGAAACTTTTGTAGTGGAGTTTATTATTGGCCGCTTGGACTCAACTGTGAAACAAAGGCGCAAATGGATTAACGCTAAAAGATACAGATCAGATAACATTTCAAGAGAAATACAATGCATCAATTCTCTCAGCTAGGACGCTCAAGCAAATCTTTGTTCTGTTAAAAGTGTAATTACAGCCCTCCTACCCTTTGAAATGTTCAGATCTGTTGAAGTCCTTGTGAAATGAGAGAGCGATGGCATCAAGGTTGCTACAGAGGGACGTCTCACCACTGATGAATGTGTAGGATTTGATCCACTCCTTGTTTTGATAATGCCCATCACCTGAAATAAAGTAATTTTTCATTGATGTGCAACTACTTGGAAATGTAACAAGGGCAAAAATAGCTCCTAGTAAACCATCTATCAAAGATCCAAAACCATGCCACACATCATCCAAAAAATTTATTACGCGCATTACAACTGACAATGCCATTCAACTCACAATTTAAAACTTTTTAGATTCAATATCAAAATAAATCTTCAAAATAATTGCAAAAAGGAAACTTGGTAAGGCAAGGTCGCCCTTAAATCTATGGATACTGCAATAAATGGGTATCTTGTGAGAACAGTGAAAAATCGTTGAGCAAAGCAGTAAAAAGACATATTCACTTAGTTTTCATGTTTGATCGCGGATTAAATGAGACAAAAGCTAACATATTTATCTGTCTACTCCTTTACCAATTCTTTAATAATTGGTACATTTAGAAAAATTAAAATTATAAAACATGGTAGAGCATGTGTGCATTGTGAAATATGAGCATTCTACACATCGGCCTTAATTATAAGAGGCCTAAAAGGTAAAAATATAATGGAATCTTGTAGTTAAATCAAATTTAGTAAAGGCAATTACAAAAACTATGTTAACATCTGTCGCGGAAAAAATATCATCTGTCTATGACGCTCTCAATTGTTGAATAACTCCATAATTGATCAAACTGTGTGGACATCCTACAAGTTTTTACAATATAGTAGCATGATGAGCAAAAATTAAATGCTATAATAAATCCTATATCTTTATTCGAAAGAAAATTTTAATCTTTTCGCTTGAAGAATTTAGCCCCTCCCCTTTTCTACAATTTCTACACATTTTTCTACACTAAACAATTCGTCACTTGAAACATTTCAGTATATGGAGCCCCTGAACAGCTGCTAGATCGACCAAACTAAGAGAAAGCGAGTTTCAGTAGATGTTCCTTGTACATGAGACTCATAACCAATACTTCCACTGCGCGGCACACTCCAAAGGTGATAGGAAGGGGGTTGCAGAAGACTCTTGAATTTTCAGACCATCCCTCCGTCAGTAGTAGGTTTTTTTGTAAACCTCTGCCAAAATTATATTGGTCAACAAGTACATCGCTTTACTCAGTGAAACGATCAGGTGAAAAGAATATTTCAAAAATAGTACACATAATATAGCGAATGGCCCAATTGGCTGACTATAAGGTCATGGCCTAACTTTAATAGTCAAGTGCTGCAAAAAGCAAGCACAAATATGTAATAAGATAAGTAGATAAAAATACTGAATTCAAATGATTACAATTATAGCTGTAGAGTGTCCAATAAATTACTGAATGTCATAAAAACAGGAACGATGTACACGTGATCTGAGATACCAATATCTCAATCTCAAAAGGATAGTGTCTAGAAACAATCATAGTCCATGGTGGCAGGTATCAATTTAAACGAAGTTTACACTGATGGCAATGTATAACGATTGCCCTGTCACTCCTCATCTCACCCCAGACCGCTATCAGGGTGCGTCCTGAGGATTGAGAATCTAAACCTTGTGCGCATGTAACACATTATAGCCGCAGTAGTCTTCTCCTCTCTCTGTGATAGTTTTTCAGCAGTCTCTTCTTGTGGGTACTTGTGGTGGCTTTGTGGACCCCATCCGCATTTGTTTTGAGTATATAATGGGTAAAAGGTGCCTTGTTCCACCTGATGATTCTGTTTGTTGTACTTTTCATTTTCCTCATTTCTGAGCTTTATAGACTGATCCATATCTTTTTTTTACGAAATGTGTGAATTGGGGTGGGGTAACACAGACAACAAAGAATTTTTGTTACAAATGTGCTCCAGAGACCTCGGAGGATACATCAGGTGCAAAAAAAAAAAGCCCCCCCCCCCCTACCCCCCCCCTATCCCCAAGGCAAAAAAAAAAAAATTTATTTTATTTTTTTGGGGACCAACAATTACTCATTATCAAGGGGTATCAATGCTGGCTTCAGTCACTACATCTCTGCATACTTCACGCGCCAGCCTGCATTTAGAAACGCGATGTTGTTTGTGTCTCATAGAACATAGCCACCGTTCTTGCATATAAGTGAGTGATTCACATTATTTTTCTCCTCCACAAGCACAGTGAAAGGGGTGTTAAGGGATCTCCCAACCATAACGCAAGTACAGGAGCATCACGGACTCAATCGTTGTTCTGGGAGTAGCCAAATCTCTTCATGGAGAGTGCAGTAAGCACATCCTGAACCATTCTCTTTGATGAACTGGAGAGGATCTCTTTAGGATGGGATCTCTTTACACTGTCCTCTATTGGATTTGCTAACCGTAATAAGTGTTTTCTCCTTGATTGCCCTTGAGACTTTATTATAAATGCATTTTGAATTGACATGTTGTAATGTTTCAAGGGTGTTTTGCTGGTTGATAATCAGGGTCCTGTGAGGTCTTTTTTGTGATGGTGACTGAGGCTGTGAATTCCTATTGCAGTTTTTCAACTGGGTTGGAGATACCTGGGCCCACCAAGTCCTGACCTGCAATGCTAAATCGGAGCGTCCAAGTTCTGATACGTTCTTACCCAAGATTGCTGTAATAAAATCTGTTCTGATGCAATCCTCCAATGGTTGAAACAAGTGACTTATACCCGGGATGGTCCCTCTGGAATGAACGTCCACCGGTGACGAAATTCCCTTAGTAATATGCAGTTCAAGATGGCACTTTGGGCTTCCTCAACACAATTGATGACACAGCTTGATGTCCCTGACAAACCATTTATGGACTTTAATCTGAGACCATGATTAGTTTCGTAAAAGCTTCGCTGCCAATTGGCTGCATCCCAAAGGCGGTCTCCTTCAGACTTCAATTTTAATACCTTTGCCTGAAATACTTTCTGCGCAAGATCTAGGTCCTACGCGTATTCTTCACATCAGACGGTCTTACTGGCTTTGGGGGGTAATCCATACTTTGGTCCTTGCTCCAACAGCGTATCCCCCATATCTAATAGCGCTTCAATCTTGCCACCAGCACTAACAGTCGTCTGCATACTTGACTGTTGCAAACACGGGGTTGGAGGCTGTGGCTAGGCATCTACTAGAGGCTTTATCCTAACGCATAGAATGCCATTGCTGCTACATCCCCTGAGTTGAACCTCCTCAGACTAAATGTTGGTTGGTCCCTAGTATTAATGATCTGTCTGCT